GGAACCCAGTGCTCTAGCATCTGCCGCATAACCATCTCTTGTCGTGTCTAAGTCTCTTCTGGAACACTTTCTCCCTTTTGGCTAGACCTCCCGTTTGATCCACATTTGAACCAGCAATACATTTGAACTAGCAATGCCTGGTTGTTCAGTGTTAGCTGGACGGAGACTTGTCAGTCCCTCTTTAAAGGATCTGGCTTCTGAGCCAGAGACTGCAGCAGCTAGAAAGAAACACGTTTATAGCTGAAGTTTAGCATCATTTCACATCTTGGCGCCACTTTTAATCTAAACAGCCTGATTGGTTATTATCTCTGCAAGATGAGGGATACATCTTTTGAATCTTCAGGGGCCCTCAGAGATGTCAAAAGTCCAGAGAATTTAGAACTTTGATTTTCAGAAAGTCTGCTAAAGGTGCCAAGAGAACTTAGAGTATCGGGGCAAAATAGAATTCCTTAACATCCTGAAATGATAGCCATCCATTTAGCCAGGGCGATTAAAACACTTTTAGACCAGATTTATTCATAATGATATTTAACATAACTTAAACATTTAACAGTCAACGCTTTTCATCAATCAGAACTTAACAGAGACAGCAGAGTACACAGAGTACTTCGGCAGTACACAAATTCTATGTCTCTTGTTGAATAAACCAGAAATAAAAAACCTTGAACATAAGAGTTAGCACACGGAACACCGCGAAACTTGGAACAATTAAACAGAGTCAAAAAGAGCTTTCAGGACCTAGAAATGGCACAAAGTAGCCAATTAAACAGACACTCCTAAAAGGAGACGTTGCAGTTTTACAAAAGCAGATTTTAACATTTAAGGGCCGGCCTGCGGCTCACTAGGCTAATCCTCTGCCTGGGGCATCGGCACCCTGAGTTCTAGTCCCTGTCGGGGCGCTGGATTCTGTCCCGGTTGCCCCTCTTCCAGGCCAGCTCTCTGCTGTGGCCCGGGAGTGCAGTGGAGGATGGCCCAAGTGCTTGGGCCCTGCACCCCATGGGAGACCAGGAGAAGCACCTGGCTCCTGCCTTCGGATCAGCGCGGTGCGCCCGCCATAGCGGCCATTTGGGGGGGGTGAACCAATGGAAAAAGGAAGACCTTTCTCTCTGTCTTACTGTCTAACTCTGCCTGTCCAAAAAAAAAACAAAAAACAAACAAACAAACAAAAAAAAAACGATTTACATTCGAGACCATTTCCAGATATTTACTAACTTATTATTTTTCTCAAACTGTGAGACCTGAGCCTGGATCAAGGTGTAACTATTTTAATCAGGCCTCCATCTTGGAACTTGGGCCTGACCAGGCCCTGAACTCTGAGCCAGAAGCTCCTAAAAGTAAATAAATGGACTCCCCTTGCAGTAAACTCTCCTAGCAACAGCCGAGTAACAGGTAACAGAGAAATACCTGGAGTTCCTGGTGTCTCAGGGCAGATGAGGTGACTGATAGCTACCTGAGACCCTGCAGTTGGGCACGAACACCCCAGCAGCTGGGACCCTATGCTTCGGCCAATCAGTTCAAAAGGCATCAACCCCAAAGCCATCCAACCACCTTTAGTAGGTCCGTTCCCGCCACTGGATGCACTAATCAGTTCTAGGAGACGTCCTTTGAATTTCCCGCGGGATGAGATGATTTGCTGAATGGTACCATGATGTATGGAGTGTCTCTGAAACCCTATACAAACCCTGTTCACTGAAGGGTCGGGGCTCTCGATTCAGCCCCGCTGCGTCGGTGTTGATTGAGAGACCAGGCCCGGACCTGCAGTAAAACTCTCGTGCCTTCACAGCGGTATCGGCTCCTCGGCGGTCTTTGGGGACAACTGAACTGGGCGTAACAAAACTTTTATGACTTGCTCACGCCTTCTGAAACTTGAACCCATGGTCTTGAATTGTCATGCGTGAACAACCCATGAGAATAACAAGCCCGAGCAGTCTCCCTTACAGCATTTAAGACGTGAAAGCTACACGTAATGCATTTTCCCAAGTTTTACTTAGCGATGATTCCTAGATGGCTTTAGACACTGAGATGATAATGAACACCACAGCATTCTCTGAATTATTTTGAAGGTCAAAATCACGTTTCCAAGCTCTTAAGTAACTGATAACGATAACACCTCCTGGACAGCAAAACGGACACTAGCATGTTTACACGCTCTGAGAGATCTTCATCTTTTAAAGAAACAAGCGTAAAGCATATCGAAGACACGTAACACTGAGCGAGGGAACACGCAAACCGAAGGGCATTTGGATTAACCGGATTTTGAACCACACCGTGCTGGCTTACTGTAGTGAGCATAAAGGCTTGTACACACAGAGTTTACTCCCACGTGTACTCCAGCTGGAGAGCAGTAACATGACTACGGCCTAGGTCTGCCGTTGTTTATATCATTTTAATGTACTTCGCATAATCTGAATCGACTCAAACAGCTGTATTCTAACAAATTCTGAGTCTCATCCTTTGAGAGTTCCAGGGATCCGACTGGAAGCCTCAAAGTCGGAAGACTCGGTGTAGCACTTACACTGTCGGAGAGTCAAACCGTTTAGCCAAAATAGCACGTTTAACCTGAGCATGTTTACCAAGGCTCTGGCTAGATCTGATCAGAGTTAAGGGACTCTCTCCAACATTAAAAGCAGACAAATAACGTACACAACTTTGCATTGCAGTTCTCCCGATCCAGACTCAGTACTGGCAACAAACACGAAACCTTCAGGACACGCCAGCTCTCCCCAGCTAAGTCAGCGACAGCAGCACAGAGGAGCTGGGCATCAGCACACGGGCCCAAACACATCTCAGAACCAAGAGGCGGAGGATCAGAGACTGCCGAGGGCTGCAGCAAGTCTCCATCAACTGCAGAGAACACCCATCCGTCGGGTTGGAAAGCGTGAGTGGACTGAGGCTTCCCTCACGTGGGCGGGGAAACCCGCAAGGCCAGCAGTAGCTGGGGCATTTCCCCTCCGCCTCCTGAGAGGCGGGGCACTGGACTGGAACTGGAGAGGAGGAAGGCAGCCCTGGAGAGTGCTCACCTCGCCAAGCCCGCGTGGGTGCGGCAGGCCACGATGGCTGGGAGAGAGCACAGGGATGTAGTGGTGCCCATTACGGGGAAGACCGGCTCGCCTGGCCTAGCAGGGCTGGCCGTGGGGTTGGGTGTGCGCGCTGCTGCAGTGCTCAGAACCTCCTATCGCTCACGATCACCCGGTTTCTCCAGTCGTTGGAGTTTACCTGGAGGGCCGATATTAGCCTCGACCGACTAAGCCCCGCTCGCATAGCAGTAGGCAGCGTGGCCAGGCGTCCCTCCAAGAGAGGTGAGGTCCTCGGGTCGCAGTCCGGCCGCCGGGAAGCCAGAGCGAGCTCGGGGGTCCCCAGGCTCTCAGCCAACTGCCTTTCCTAGTTCCCCTCCTGTTCCTTAAATCCCTCTGGAGTTCTGGCCGTGGCGACACTGTGGCCGGGGGACGCCACGTTCTCGGAGAGCTGTGGGGCGCAGGACGATCAACGGTCATTCCCACAGATCCGGTCCCGCTTGAGGGAAGGAGTACTGAGCTGGATGGCGCTTCCTTTCAATCCCTTCCTGACCCCTTCGTGAATTCCCTCGTGGGTCTCTTCGTGGGTCCTTCGTGTGTGGATCCCCTTGTGCGTGGTGTCCGTTTGTGGTCACCAGAAATGTTACAGAGGGAAGGCTGTGGAAGCCCTGGAGTTCTTGTCTTCATGAGGAAAGAATTCAGGCGTGAGACAGAGAGCGGGGTGATAAGGTTTTATTGGGCACAGGGCATCCGTCAGAACGGAAGGGATAGAGAGAGAGCGCCTTGTCACTGGGACTCTGGGACTGGGGAGAGCGAGGTTGGTGGTTGATGGAGAGAACACACCCGGGCAGGCCAGGCGGGGGCTCAGCAGGGAGCAGAGGGCTGAGTCTGCTTGCACTCCCTGGGTTTTTAAGGGAGTCTGTTTACCACCCCCACCACCTCCCCTCTCCTCCAGGACAAAGGATGGGGTTCCTCAGCTGAAAATTAGCAAATTCCCCCCCAGATTTGCTGGCTTGGGCAGAGTGGGGGGGCTCCCCTAGGGCGTCTGAGAAGGTTTTATTGCCCCCCTTGTTATCAGGTCAGGCAGCCCCTTTGGTCCTGAGGAGAGCATTCTCCTGGGAGCTGTCCCTGGGGGGAGGGCTGGGAGCACCTGGGAGGTCATCAGGGTCTGGGCAGGACTCTGAAGTGGGAGACGCGGGGCTTCTGGGGCTTCCCAGTAGGTGCTGGTCCTCAGGCCCTTCTCACACGCACAGAGGCTGTTTCTGACTTCCTGCCTAACACCCAGACGCCCCTGCCAACAGCCCTGCCCCCTGCCGCTAACAGCCCTGCCCTGCCTCGGCCAGCTCTGCCCTGTCCACACTGCTGGACACTGCGCTCTGAGCCCCTCCATCAGCCTGTGCTTGCCCCACTCCTCCTAAGCTCTCTCCGCAGCTCAGCAGCAGGGCCCTGAGGCCAGCCTCAGCCTCAGCCCAAACCCCTCCCAGCTCACACCGTGACCTCACATCTAGCCAAGCTCTGCCTCTGGGCAGCTCAGCTGGAGCTCAGACCCCCACGCTTGGTGGGGCCGTGAGGAAGGGGCTCTCTGTGTACCCTGCGGGCGCCTGGGAGCAAGCCCCTCCCGGCTCTATTCTGGAAGACCTGGTCTGGCTGTGGCCTCGTGCTCCCTCCCCCTTCCGGACAGATGTCCTGTTGAACTGGCCGACGGGGCGGACAAGCTCCTGGGTGGACGTCCACCTCTGCCTCTCTGGAGGGATCCTCCGAGGCTGGTGTGAGGGTTTCTCTGGAAAGACAACCTGGACCAAAGGTTGCCACGGGGCCAGGACCGAGCCGGAACCGCTCTCCGGATCTTTCCAAGATGCCCGGGCTCGGTCCAGCGGCCCACCGTGGCGTGTGCGGACAGCCATGGCTTGGGGGTGGGGGTGGCTCCCCTTTTTTCTATTTGTTGCTTTTGTAAAGGGGAGCAGAACAGAGAAACAGGACACAAACTCATAGCCAAAACAGATTTATTCAGAAAGAGAAGTAAATTCACAGCTGGACACAGAATGGACAGGTGGCAGAGAGCTGGTGCTGAGTGGGCTGCGGCCCGGGGTCAGGAGGGGCGGGGGGCAGCGCGCAGAGGGGAGCTGCTGCTTCAGGCTTTTCCTGGGCTTTCGCAGCTGGGCAAGAGTGCGGGCTGGGGTGGGGAGCAGGACAGGGTGCAGGCTGAGCTGCTCTCTTGGAGGAAGGCAGGGGTTGGGGTAAATTCTGATTCCACTGCTGGCGGGCACGGGGCTGGAATGGCCGGTCCCGACCGAGTGCAGGTGGGGAGTGGGGTGGGTGCTGCCTGCTCCAGGGGGGCGCTGACGCGGGGCGGGGCCCACGCTGTGGATCCCATTGGCTGGAGAAGAGCGGCCTTGTGTTCCTGCGCGATGGCTCGGGTACAGCAGTCACCTGTTCTCATGAGCACACAGGAACGGAGGCACCGTGAGCGTGAGTGGGAAGGCAGGCGTGCGCCTGGCTGCGCAGAGAACGCTCCCGCTGTGTTCCGGGCCTGTGGCTGGCCTGGGCCCCCATTCCCGGGGCGCTGGCCCTGGGCTGCAGTGCCAGCTCCCTGTGCACGGCCATCGGGAACCCCGGCTTCCAGCCCGGAGGAAGTGGATCTAACAAGCAGATGAGATACACAGGGTCCAAACCACAGGACAGCGCCGCATCGGAGTGCCAGGGAAGGTGTGGCCACTGCAGGAGGGATGGGCTTGAGGCACTGAGGCCTGGCCAGGTGTGAGTGCACACCTGTCTCTCACCACGGGGCACTGGAAGAGCCGGGAGGGAGGGAGGGAGGTGTGCACCTCCTCAGGGGGGCACCTGCTGACTTGTTACCTGGCTGGCCAGGGAGGTTGGCACGAACAGGCAGCAGCTAAAATCAAACTGCAGCTCTGCCTGCAGCGTTGCTGACCCTAGGCCGCCCCTCCCCACGGCGGGGGTGGCTTTGGGAGCTTTTCCAGCTTCGCGCCAGCAGGGTCTGCGGCTCTGACCTGGCGTCCCCTGTCCTTCCCCACTGCTTGTCGGTTAGCGAGGACGCCTCGTGCCCACGGACAGGCGCTCTGTCTCCCCTCACGGGACGGGAGTGGGCTCACCGACGTTGGCCCTGGTACCAAGGAGGCCTGGAGAGGCTGTGCCCGCGTGTTGGGGCCACTCCCTGGCTACCTGTTGTGCCCGCTGGACACCGCAGCTGCCAAAGCCTCTGCCTCCCCTAAGTTTCTACTTGGTAAGAAGTCGGGCTCGCCGATCCCCTGAAGAATTTGGTATTTGATACACCTGACTTGAGCGACCACCCTTTTGATTTCTGCTGTACAGTCGGCCTCACAGCCCCCTCAAGGACCAGCGGCTTCGTCCACAGGGGGTCCCCGGGCCCAGGAGGAAGGCCTTCCTGCGTGGTACTCACCCCGAGGCCGGCACTCCCCGCGGTGGCTCCCGCGTGGGTGGGCTCTGCGGCCCCTGCACCTGCCGCTCCGGAAGGGGCCGTCCGTCTTTGTGAAGCCGTGACCTACACTGACTTGCCCAGTGGTTTCCTTTTTCACAGCGAGGGCACAGTGCAGGGCCTGCCCCACCCTGTCTCGGGGACTTCCGAGCCGCGGCAGGCGCGGGCCGGCGGGGCCCGGGCGCTGTCTTGGACGGCTGTCTACACTGGGCTTGCAGGTGGCCGCTCTTCCCACACTGGAAGCAAACTCGCAGAGCCCCTGCGAGCGCAGCCGCGAACACCTGCGCCTGGTGCGTGGTGGTGCCGACGTCCTGGCAGGCGCGGATCATCTCGGGCAGCGTCCGGGTGTCTGGCAGGGACCCCAGAGCCCGTCTGCAGTCCCCGTTGGCGTTCTCGTACGCCAGGTGCCCCAGCAGGAACTCCTCAACAGAGGGGTTACCCACCTGTCTCCGTAACCGCCGCGCCAGCCGGTCCACAAAGTCCGAGAACGGCTCCTTGGGGCCTTGAAGGCATTTTGCATAGCTGCCCGGTAACTCTGCCCGTGCCTGGGCCGGCAAGGCCGACCAGGCGCGGCGCGCACACTCTCCAATCTGCTGGTAGGCCTGGGCCGGCATGCTGGCCTGAGCAGCGAGGCCCAGATACGGGCCCGACCCCGTGAGCATGTCCAAGGAGATGTTCACGCCTAGCCTCTTGTTCCGGCTCGCTTGGCCCTGAGCCTGATCCGAGTATTCGCTCTTCCAAATGGCAAAGTCCCAAAAGTTGAGACAGGCCCGCGCCAGCTGAAACCAGTCGTTAGGAGGGAGCGGGAACCGAGACACAGCCTCCACCAGGGTGATGGTGAAGGGGGCGCGGAGGCCGTTCTCAGCCACGCTCTCCCGCAGCGCCTTGATCATCCTGAAATCAACAGCGGTCCCGGGCGCTGGCCACGCCGCGTCGAGGAAGGCCAGCATGTCCTCCACGTCCATGTCCTGCGCGCCTTCCCGCAGCGCCCTCTGCAGAGGCGTCTCCACGGGCGCGGCGGGCGCGGCGGGCGCGGCGGGCGCAGAGGGCGCAGAGGGCGCGGCGGGCGCACCGGGCACCGCCTGCTCTTCGTCTGGGCCGGCCGGGTCCCCCCACAGCGGCTCCAGGGCTAACGTCACCTGTGTCCACACGGCCAGGGCGTTCTTGTGTACGCGGCCCCGCGTCTCTTTTAGCGTCTCCCCGACCCTCTCCCACTCCCGGAGATCTAGACGTGAGTGCTCCGCGAACCACGGGTTGTACTTGGGGACCGCGGCCAGGAAGCCCTGGAGATCTTTTTCTGCCACGCTGACTCCTCGCGCCTTCAAGAGCTGCCGTAGAACTCCGGAGCACTGGTGGCTGTCCACGCTCACGCCCTGCCCCATGGCTACTCACGCAGCCCGCGGCGGCGGCTCCCTGCGCCCCTCCTCAAGCTGCCTGCTGGGCGGGAGGCGGACAACGCAGGGGCTGGGGGGGCCTCCGGGGAGGGGGAGGAGCGTCTCTCTGCCTTGCCCCTGGCCTTTAGTCTCCGTAAGAAGAAAACCCGGTCTCTGTACGAAAACCCCCGCTCCGCCGGGTTTTCTTGCTGGCCCCAGAGGTGGTTTCCGTTCACAGCATTGTCTAGGGCAGAGCTAACCAGACCTCCGGTCACATGACCGCAGCCCGCCTCCCGCCTCCCGAGGGAGCAGGGTAAACATCCTGCTGGTAAACAAGTCCTGAGCTCCTCGTGAGAACCCACCCCCCATCTGCTGGGGGGGTGCCCGCCTGCCTCAACCACCCAGGAGCCTCCCACAGGGTCTGCTGCCCCACCCCCACTCCTTGCAGGCTCAGCCCCTCCCCTCGTGGGGGTGGCGGCGCTGGCCTTGAGCAAGGGTGCAGCTGGTTGAGGTCATTTCTGCTCTGACCGACCCAGGCCAGCAGCAGGCCCAGGCTCCATGGTCTGCTCCCTGGTGCAGGTCGGCTGTGCCCTTTGACCCCAGCTGTCCAGGCACAGCCTCCCTAACCCCTGCCCCGCTGCCTTGCCCCAGAGGAAGCCAGGGTTCTGGAGGGCTCACTTGTTACTCTACAGGCGACAGAAGACAGACGTCAGTGACAGCTTGGACCTGCAAGTTCACTACAGAAAATCGGAAAAACCAGGAGGGGGGCTCTGAGCTGAGGCCCTCAGGCCCCGCCCCTAGCTGGCCACGGGGCTGAGTGTGCTACAGAGAGCTGGGCGGTGGGAGAGCAGCGCTAGGCTCCTTACAGCATCTATAAGCACAGCTACAGAGCTGCTGGCCTCGGGACACGCTTGGGGGGGCTCGGACACTCTTAGGGGACGCTGGAACCGAGGGGGCGCCTGCCCGGACGCGTGGGCGCTGTGGGGAGCGGAGAGGCTGGCGCCCGTGGGGAACTGGGCCGGGGTCACAGGGAACAGGTCAGGACATTTGCCTGCTCTGGGCTCCATCGCTCCCTTGTCTGGGGTGGAGGCCTCACTTCCTCTCCCCTGGGTCAGGAAATCCCAGCCCACCCACAGGCGCAGCCCAGAGCCCACCCCTCGGACACAGAAGGGCATGCTGGCCTCTCACTGTCCGCAGAGGACCGTCCCGGGCCCCATGGACCTCCAAGCCCTGCTGGCCGGAAGCTGCTGTACTCCCTGCCTCGCGTCTTTGTTCTTTGAAAGGCAGAGTTAGGGTGTGTGTGGGGGGGGCACACTCATGCGTTTAGAGTCCTTGATTGCTGGCGGCTGAGTAGGCTTGTGCCCCACAGAACACTGGACCCCGAAGCCCAACACAGCATGTGGGGAGGCCTAGAGGAAGCTTCCCGAGCCTGCCTGGACTTTGAAAACCTGACTTTAAGTTTCAAATCCCTGGTGGCAAACACCCCAGCCCCAGGGCGCTTCTGCCTACGGATCATTAAGGTGGTGCAATAGGAGTGGCTAAGGCCCTTTCGCATCGCATCAGCCCACCCCTTGCCCGCATCCGCTCTGTACCTCAGCTATGTGTACACCTCCCTTTTACAATACAGTGAGACCCTGCCTCGACTGGGCTCCACACCACGCCTGATTGTCCCCCGGGTTTGGGAAGGCTGAGTGGCGGGTGGCGCACTTGCCCTCCTTGGTCAAGGCAAGCTGCGGGCAGCCTGCCTAATTCTCCGGCGGTGACGGTGACTGGGAAGAGTCACCGCAACAGCAGGGTTTTTAAAGGCAAAAACCACACCATTGGGAGGGGACTACGTGGTTACTGGGGTCAAACTGACCTAAATCCTATGCAAAACTAACAGCAAATATAATCTAGGCAATGTCAGTTACAATCTTAACAGTTTCAATTGTGGTCTTGACATTGCTGCAGGTCTTGCTTGACTCACATGTAGGACACAGACAAAGCTCCTTTCATCATCACCCCGGTGCAGCCTATCGGCTCCCAAGCTTGAGCGCTCGTGCCGGGGGTTCTGTGCTTTGCCAGGTGTGGCGTAGCAGACTGCTAGTGTCCCAGTGTCTTAGAGCATGGCTCCAGCCGGTGTCTCACGCGGTGGGGGAGGGCGTGCGCCCCAGAGTGGAGCCTCAGGTGCTGCAAAATGGAGCCCCTACTGTCAAGGAGTTACTTCTGCTGAAATGAAAAATTATATATATATATATCTATATCTGGAACTAGCGGATGCTGAGTATCCATTGCTTCTTGCTTCTGTACTGCGCTGCCTGCTCAATGACTTGATGCGGGATGCCCGGGTGAGAAAAGGAGGGGAGGTAGTTGAACCTCCACGCCAGGCTTCACAAACTCCAGTGTTAGGTAGGAAAGTTAGATATGAGCTTACGTGTGTGTGGCAGGCCATATGTCCAGCATATGCGTCTACATCTCAGTCATCCGGATAATGCTTCAGGGGCAGCCCAGTGTTCACATCCTGCCCTGCCCCCTTCCACCTGATAACCTGCCAGGTGGGGGGGGGGTCCCCGCCCCTTCTCCCTAACAAATCTTCCACAATCTCCCAGGTGCAGCCCAGCATCTGCATTCTAGGGGTCCTGCTCACCCTTCCTCCAGTCTGATAACATTTGCATCCATAGAGTCCTTTGTTTCAGGAGGAAATGTACCTTCAAGGGAAAACTCAGAGAGAAGTTTTTCTATTTGCATCCAAAAAGCCCTTTGTTCCAAGAGGAGCAGAGGTGGGGAAGCAAGACCCATCTCCTTAAAAACCCCCAGCCTTGACCGGACGGCGCGCTCAGCCCTCTGCCTCTCCGCTGAGCTACCCGCCCGCCTGCCTGCCCAAGTGTACTCTCTCCACTCAACCAGGTAACCTTCCCCCCCACCACCTGTCTGGAGAGGTGCCCATCCATCCTTCCCTAATAAACCTTGCTATTTTACCTCCCACTACTGTCTCCCGCCTGAATTCTTTCTTGCGTGAAGACAAGAACCCTGCCATTTCTCCGGTAATACAGTCACTGTTTCACTCCTCAAATGGCTGCTAACAGCCAGGACTGGGCCAGGCCGAAGCCAGAGCCAGGGGCTTCTTTGGGTCTCCCACGTGGGTGCAGAGCCCAGGCGCTTGGGCCATCTTCCACTGCTTTCCCAGGCTACAGCAGAGAGCTGGATGGGAAGTGGAGCAGCCGGGACTTGAACTGGTGTCCATATGGATGCCGGCACTTTAGCCCAGAGCGATAACCCACTGCACCACAGCGCAGGTCCCCACAAAGAGTATCTTTAGCGAGAACAGACTGCCCTCCTTGCTCCAAATTTACCATGAGAATAGCAAGGGAGCCCTTCCGGGGCTCACAGGGTTACCTGGCCCACCCCTCACAGGCCGGGCAGGACGGAGAATCTACATCAGACCCTTTCATGCTCTGGCCTGGCCTGGTAGCTGATTGCCAATCTCATTGTCAAGTTATTTTTTCCTTTACTGGAAAAGCCGAGTGCTTCAGGGCTTTTTGCTTTTTCTTCTCTTGGAAGCCCCTCCCCCTGCATGCTGGGGGTCTTTGACTCTAATAAATCTATGCAAATCTCTCTGCTGTCCACTGGGAAATTCTTCCACGTGCGACAAAGAGCCAGGGTAAGAGTAATTACGCGTTTACACTGGGACCTGCAGCGCCACAGGTGGCGGCTCCGCCTGCTACGCCCAGCCCCGCCCACACTGGCCAGCCCCGCCCACACGGGCTTTGCTGCAGGACCTCTGGCACTGCTGAGCTGCAGAGGAGCCTGGTGCTCCTGCTGAGCGTGGAGGACCCCTCAGCCCCTAACCACCGCCCCTGGGCACACCTGGGGGCCTGCAGGCTGGGTCAGGTCAGCCGCGCAGTGCTCAGCATCTCGGTTGCTCGGGTTCCGGGGTGCCCTGGGTAGTGCATGGACTTGCCAACTCGGCTTCCTGCACACTTTGGGTCCTGGCCCTGCCTGGGAAGAGGCCCTGCCCCTTCCCTCCTGTGTTGAGGACCTCTGCTGCTGCTGCTGACCAGGGTCCCAGGAGGGATGGGACTGCAGCCCAGAGGGGGCACTCATGGAGGGGCTGCTCCTGGGTCCCCGGTCCCCACGGCTTGAGCACTGAGGCTGGCGGGTGAACGGAGCTGGGGTCTGGCTTAGCTTCGATGTGGGGGCAGCTGCAGCCCTCGGCCCTGTCCCCCTCTCTCCCCATCATCCGTCAGAGCCTTCCTCGCCAAGGAGGCTTGGAACGCTGTGCCCCAGCACCCCTCTGTCCCGGCACCCCCTCTGTCCCACCACCCCTCTGTCCCACCACCCCCTCTGTCCCGGCACCCACTCTGTCCCGGCACCCACTCTGTCCCGGCACCCCTCTGTCCCGGCACCCCCTCTGTCCCGGCATCCCCTCTGTCCCGGCACCCCTCTGTCCCGGCACCCCCTCTGTCCCAGCATCCCCTCTGTCCCACCACCTCTCTGTCCCGGCACCCCTCTGTCCCGGCACCCCCTCTGTCCCGGCACCCCCTCTGTCCCGGCATCCCCTCTGTCCCCGGCACCCCTCTGTCCCGGCATCCCCTCTGTCCCGGCATGCCCTCTGTCCCGGCACCCCTCTGTCCCGGCATCCCCTCTGTCCCGGCATCCCCTCTGCCCTCAGCGTTCGGGCCCCACCAACAATGTCCGCTCAGCCACCAGCGAGGAGAACCAAAGTGGGGCAGGAATGCCGTCACACAGTGAACGGCAGAAGCCGCCAGAAACGCTTAACACGAAGATGCCAGCCCCAGTGGCACCACCGCGGGGGCCACACACAGGTCTCCCCCAGAGTGCCGGGGCCCCGGGCCGCGTGGGCACCCTGGGGTTCCAGCGCCGCCAGGAGAGCCTCTGCTCATTTGTGCGTTTTACGAACGGCCTCTGCTGTCCAGGACAGCCCTGTGCTTGCAGAAGGCCCAGACCCTGCAGACATCCCCTGCCCCGCCCCTCCACGGGCCTGTGTCCTGGTGTCAGGCGGGGCTGAAGGGACAGGCAGCGGGGACACAGCTGCTGACACACGTCCCTCATGGGCCGTCAGTCCCTCTTGCCAGCAGCCCGGGACCCAGCCCGCCCCTGAGGACCACGTGTGTCCAGCATCAGTCCTGGAGGGCAGGAGTAAGTTAGGGGGTGGGGGTGGGGGTGGGGAGGAAGCAGGTGAGTGGCACAAGCGGACAGTGGCGACGGGCGGGACCCCACGGTGTGGGAGGGGGGCCAGGTCTGAAGAGACACAATGAAGGGGAAGGGACGTCACACACGTGTCTGCCCCAGTGTGTCCCCAGGGGCCGCTGGGACACAGGCACACGTGGGGGGCGTGCGAGGACCCAGAGAGAGGGGCCGGCACCGAGGGCACACTGGGAGGCCCCGGGGCTGCGGCTGTGGGAGCCGCCCTGCCCCCGCTGCAGTCCCTGTCCCTTCGTCCCCAGGAGGGGCCCTGTCCTGCGTGGCAGGGCTGAGCGTCCAGGGTTCCAGCCTGGACAGCCAGACACAGCCCTGGGCCCCGCCTCCCCGGTGGCCAGAACCAGCTGCCCCGTGGGGGTGCCCACTCCTCTCTGAAGCAGGAGGGGCTCGGGGGTGGGCAGTGACTCGGTGCCCACCCAGAGGACGCTGGTGCCGGGTGGGCGTTTGGCTTGCGACGCCCACCTCCCGTGGGGGCAGTTCCTGAGTTATGAAAGGGGGGCGGCAGCAGCGGGGGACCCGGTCTTTGGGACGTGGACCAGCGGATGATGACCTCTCTTGCCCTCTGCCTTGCAAATAAACAAAAACAAAACTTCCAGCAAACCGGAGGCGGCGTGCTGCTTCCCTGGAGAGGCGGGGCTGGGAGCCAGCTCCGCACGGCTTGGCGGAGAGGAGGCCCTGGGAGTGCCCAGCCGAAGTACCCGCCGTCCGAGGAGGCCCCTCGGCGTGCGTCATCTCAGCAGCCATGCTGGCCCAGCGCAGCACGCCCGGCCTGGGCGCCCGACCACCGGCCCCGGCTCCGCCTCTCGGCGGCCGGAGCGGGACGGCTCCGGTGTGGGGCGGCGGGGACCGCAGCCGTCCGAGGGCCGCCTCCTCGCGGGTCCGCGGCGGGGAACCGAGGGAAGCAGGAGCCACACGGGAGTCACGCAGGCTTCCCGCAGCGGTGTGGGCGGCCAGACGCGGGGCCCAGAGCGGGCTCGGACCGGCGCCGGCCGCCCGCACAGGGAGCGAACCGGGCTGGTCCGCGTCTTCTTCCGCGGTCCGGTCCGCGTCTTCTTCCGCGGTCCCGTGCGGTGGCCCGCGTGGCCCGAATTCCCAAGGCATCCAGCTGTGACTGTCCTCTGCAGTGGTTCCTGCGCCATCTGCTGGAGACTCCTGGTCGGCGACCGGCGTCCGCCACAGCTGTGCCCGCTCTGGTGGGGGGAGCCTGGCCCCAGCAAGACCGAAGTGTTTATTTGAAAGGCAGAGTTTCGCAGAGAGGAAGACAGACAGATCATCCATCGCTGCTTCATTCCCCAAATGGATGCAACGGCTGGGACTGGGCCAGGCCAAAGCCGGGAGCCTGCAGTTCAATGGGGTCTCCCACGTGGGTGCGGGGGCCCAAGCACCTGGGCCATCCCTAGGCTGCCTCCCTAGGCCATCAGCAGGGAGCTGCACCGGAAGTGCGGCAGCCAGGACTTGAACCAGCGCCGTGTGGGATGCCGGCGTCGCAGGCAGCGGCCCAGCCCGCCACAGCGGGGCCCTGGAGGCTTTCTTTTGAGCTGTGTGGCGTGGCCGTCTGCTGGCCACAGCTCCATCAGCCTGTTGACCACAGGAGCACAGCACACAGGTACCACGGAAGCTCAGCACATGGCATACAGGTACCACGGAAGCTTGGTGCACGGCACACGGGTACCACGGGAGCTTGGTGCATGGCACACGGGTACCACAGAAACTCAGCACACGGGACACAGGTACCACAGGAGCTCAGCACATGGCATACGGGTACCACGGAAACTCAGTACACAGCACACGGGTACCACGGGAGCTCAGCACATGGCATACGGGTACCACGGGAGCTTGGTGCACGGCACACAGGTGCCACGGAAGCTCAGCACACGGGACACAGGTACCACGGAAACTCAGTACACAGCACACAGGTACCACGGGAGCTCAGCACATGGCACACGGGTACCACAGGAGCTCAGTACACAGTACACAGGTACCACGGAAGCTCAGCACATAGCATACAGGTACCACGGGAGCTTGGTGCATGGCACACAGGTACCACGAAAACTAAGCACACAGCACACAGGTACCACGGGAGCTCAGTACACAGCACACGGGTACCACGGGAACTCAGCACATGGCACACGGGTACCACAGGAGCTCAGTACACAGTACACGGGTACCACGGGAGCTCAGCACACAGTACACAGGCACCACGGGAGCTCAGCACACACGGGTACCACGGGAGCTCAGCACACACGGGTACCACGGGAGCTCAGCACACAGTACACAGGCACCACGGGAGCTCAGCACACACGGGTACCACGGGAGCTCAGTACACAGTACACAGGTACCACAGGAGCTCAGCACACAGTACACGGGTACCACGGGAGCTCAGTACACAGTACACGGGTACCACGGGAGCTCAGTACACAGTACACGGGTACCACGGGAGCTCAGTACACAGTACACGGGTACCACGGGAGCTCAGGGCACAGCACACAGGTACCACGGAAACTCAGTACACAGTACACAGGTAGCACGGGAGCTCAGTACACAGTACACAGGTACCACGGGAGCTCAGCACACAGTACACAGGTACCACGGGAGCTCAGTACACAGTACACAGGTACCACGGGAGCTCGGTACACGGCACACACGGGTACCACGGGAGGTCAGCACACAGTACACAGGTACCATGGGAGCTCAGTACACAGCACACAGGTACCACGGGAGCTCAGCACACGGCACACGGGTACCACGGGAGGTCAGCACACACAGGTACCACGGGAGCTCGGCACACACGGGTACCACGGGAGCTCGGTACAGAGCGGTTGCACATCTGTCCCTTTCTTTCACGTCTGTGCGCCACGTGCTTGGGAAGCTCCTGTGAGCAAATCTCCAGCTGGCTTGCTCTCCTCTTCCCTTGTCCACACCAAGCGCCCAGCGCCTGTGTCCACTCCAAGGCACCCTTTGTGGTCCTGCTGGTTAAGCGATCGCTCTGACACCAGCACCCCGTAGCAGCGTGCTGGTTCGAGTCAGGCTGATTTGCTTCCGATCCATTCCCTGCTGAGGGCCTGGGAAAGCAGGAAGATGCCCAAGTGCCTGGGCCCCTGTGCTCGTGTGGGAGACCTGGAGGAAGCTCCTGGCTCCTGGCTTCAGCCTGGCTCCAACCGACTGTTGCAGTTATTTAGGGAGTGAACCAGCAGACGGGCGATCTCTCTCTCTCTCTCTCTCTCTCTCTCTCTCTCTCTCATCTCTCTTTGACGTCTATCTGTCACTCTCCCTTCCAAATAAATAAGTTTTCAAGGCGGCCTTCATTTCCACCCTGGGTCCCGGCACCTTCTCGCTGCAGAGCCCTGGCGCCTGCTCCCTCCATGGTCATCACGGCTGCTCTGAATCCCGGGCCTGGAACGTCCAGCTTCCCCCTGCTGTGGGTCCTGCTTCAGAATCTGGTTTTGCTCGCTTCTCGCTTGTAGCCGGTGCCGTGGGCTGGCCCCGGCTGGGCTGGGTCGGAGTGCTTGTGTGCGCGTGAGAAAGCACTCAAGGACGCAGCAGAGAAGCGAGATCCGTGCAGAGCAAAGCCAGCGGGGAGTGCGCCGCCGTCGCGGGGCCCAGGGCTGCTCCAGCACCTGCAGGCATGGGGCGGTGTCCGGGCAGGGCTTTGCTGAGCGCTCAAGGGCTGGGGTGCCGCCCATCTCCTCGCTCTCCTTCGGAAGCCTCGAAGCCTCGGAAGATTGGCGCAGGTGCGGGATGGGCAATGTTATTATTGAAACGGTAACTTTGTTATAGCGACCTGAAGAGTGCCAGGGGAGGGGAGGGGACGCAGCTGCGGCGACGCTGGCTCTTCGCGGGCGACGTGGCTGAGGCTTCAGTTCCCACCCCGGAAGGGGATGGAGGCAAGGGTGCAGGGAAGGGGTGTGGCCTGCCTCAGCCTGGTGTGACGCCTCAGCTCCTCCCTGCAGTGCCAGCCGGCAGCCGCTGTATCTCTTTGGTCTGCGCCACGGGCCACCATTTGGTCTCCCGCCTGCCACAGGATGCAGCCACACCACGTGGCGACACCACCGGCTCCCTGACGAGTGTGGCGCCTGCCCCTCCACGAATCACTGCAAGCCCTGGCTCTGGGGGAGGCACGCCTGCCCTCTTTCACGCGCACAACATTGAGCTCATTCCCCCACCGGCCCGGAGCTGCGCGTGTGGCGCCCAGGCTGCCCTGGTTCACTCCCAGGCGGCGCCCAGGCCACCCGCCCTCCCTGCTGTGTGCTGGCCGCAGGGACAGTGGACAAAGGGAAGGCATCTCCGAGGACTGCCAGTCCCAGGTCCCCAAAAACCGTCCCACAGGCGGGCACCGTGTTGTCTAGGTCACTGCTACCTGGACATCAGGATGGGAGAGGGGTGTGGCAGCCCCCAGAGGCTGGGTTGTGGTCTCCCGGCCCCGGCCCCCTGGCCAGCTGGCTGACCTTGCCCGTCAGCGTCCTGGGTGCCCGGCACTGTCCCAGCTGGCCTGGGGCACAGGGATGCCCTCCTGTCTTCAGGATTCCCTTTGTAAAAGATTTATTTTTTATTTACTTGAAAGGCAGAGAGAGAGAGAGAGAGAGAATCTTCCATCTGCTGGTTCACTCCCCAGATGACTGCAATGGCCAGGGCTGGGCCAGGCTGAAACCAGGAGTCAGGAGCTTCTTCCGGGTCTCCTACACAGGTGCAGGGGCCCAAGCACTTGGTCCATCCTCCACTGCTCTCCCAGGCCGTTAGCAGGGAGCTGGATGGGAGGTGGAGCAGCCGGGACTCGAACCGGTGCCCATATGGGAAGCTGGCATTGCAGGCGGTGGTTTTGCCTGCCATGCCAGCGCCGACCCTTCAGTCTTCCTTTAGTTAGGGTCCATGATTTCCGCTGTGGTCCCCGTGCTGGGAGCCTGGTGGCAGTGCCGTGGGGGGAGGTGGTAGCCCCTGGAAGAGGCGGGGCTGAGGGCAGGGGCCCTGAGCCGGGGTGGTTCCCTTGAGAGCGGGTGTTATGGGACAGTGGGCCTGGCCCCTGCCCTGACCTGTGACCCCCCTCGCAGGTGCTCTCGCCACCGGGAAGCCCGAGGCAGAGGCCAGGACCCCTCCTCTGTATTAAGCGCCAGCTGCGGGCGTCTGTTTTGCCAACGGGCGCAGACAGCCGGCCAGCTCTTGGAACACGGTGGGGACGCTTTCCAGTGAGCCCCGTGTCCACGTTTCCTCGAGGACGCTTCCGCGCGCGGCGTGTTCTGCGCGGAAATCCCCATGCGTTGCCGTCCTTGTCTCCCCGGCCGCGGTCGCTGCGCGCCCTCTGTCGGCGGCGCGGGCTCTGCGCCCTCCTGGCTGAGCCGGCTCTGCTCCTGCAAACTTCGGCCACCTCCTGGTGTAGCCAAATTTTTAATTTTTAATAACTTTTTGGGCTCTTTGTAATAACAGCTTAAAACACACATTGTGCAGCTATACAGAAATGTCTCCTTTACTGGCTTCAGGCCGACCTAACCCTGGCTGTTGTGGCCATTAGAATGAACCAGCAAATGAATATTCTCTCCCTCTCCCCCTCCCCTTCCCTCCCTCCCCTTCCCTCCCTCCCCCTCCCTCTCTCTCCCTCCCTCTCCTTCTCCCTCTATCCCCTCCCCCTTCCTCTCTCCCCCTCCCTCCCCCTCCCTCCCTCTCCCTCTCCCTTTCTCCCCCTCCCTGTCTTCCTCTCCCTCTCTCCCTCTCCCCCCTTTCTCCCCCTCCCTCTTCCTCTCTCCCTCTCTCTTTCCCCCATCTCTCCATCTTCTCCTCCACTCCCCTCCTCCTCTCTCCTTCCCTCTTGCTCTCCCCTCCCCCACTCTTCTCCTGCCCCATAACTCTCCCTTTTAAATAAATAGGTAAATAGATAAATAAATAATCCTTTAAAAATGTTCTGTTCCTCTTGGGAATAAGGTAAGTGGCTCTGTCTTTAATGTTCCCCTTTACTTTCCAGTTGATACAGGATAGCTGTATACAATTCAATACAGGGATGCAGGGATATGTTATGGAACTCCTGGGGCAGGGTCATTAGCATGGCCCTCTCCTCCAAGGCCCATGGGCTCTCTGTGGGGCACCATCACTCCCCTCTCCTCGCCCAGCTGGCGACGGCCACCCTGCCCAGCAGGGCAGCCCAAGCATCAGAGGAAGGTACCTCTTTCTTTGATGGCACTTCGTTCTGCTGGGGTCTCACTCACAGTGTCTTGGCTTTCCATGGCTCAAATGCTCTCATGGGTTTTCAGCCAGACCAGGAAGCCTTAACGGCTGATTCTGAGGTCAGAGTGTTAAAGTGATTGTCATTCTATGAGTCGGCTGTGTGGCCTGCTCCCAGTGTTGGACATTCCCTCCTTCTTAATTCTATCTATTGTTATTAGCAGACCCTTAATCTTATCCATATGATCTCTATAACACTTAAGCTGCTATTTTTACCACTTCAGTTTAAGAGGATTTGGGGTTCCATGGCAAGTTTTTAAACTGTGCCCTTAGAAGGAAGTCTATAGGAATACATGCAGAACTACACAGCTTTGCAGTTACAGACTTCCTACATTCCACAGTCAGAACTGGCATCATGGTGACTTCCCACCGTGCCCGCCTCCCACCCACACTCCCACCCCACCCCTGCCCTTTCTTATTCTGACTTTTATTTTTTACTAAGGTCAATTTTCAATTAACTTTATACATACACTGTTAACTCAGCTGAAGACTGGATAACGAGACGATGGGATATGTACACCACAAAATCCGGTCATGGGCAACAACATGGAGGAAACTGGAAAACCTTCTGAGAGAAACAAGCCGGTCCTGAAGGGACAAACGCCACGTCTCCCCCTGACCTGCGGTCACGCACAGAGCTCCAAAAGGCAACCTGCAGAAGTGAGATTGACACCCACAGAAGCAACGACTATCTATCCAAGGCCAGCTGCCTTGGGACGCCTCTCTGCACCCCCTGCTTGGGCTCCGCGTGGGTCCCGGGCGGGCAGCAGGCTCGCTCTCGGTCCACCGGCCCGTTGGAATCGTCTTGGTGGGGAACCTGCCCCGGGCAGCACGAGGCCGACAGGCGGGGCCTCGCTCCTGGGCCTGCTCAGCTTGTGGCCCCGGCCGCCCCTTCCTGTTCACCTCTGCCCACCCCTCTGTGTCCCCTGGGTGCTCGACTCCCCCGCCCCACATTGTTTGCACTGTGATTTCTTCCGTCTGGTTACTACAGGGCTCACACACACAGTCTTTGAGTTACAACAGACCGTCACGAGCGGCTCCCACTTACCCTTGGTTATGTAAGAATATTCTAGACTTCTCCTCTCCAGGCCCCTTAGTTCACGTGTGAGTTTCCCAATGTCCCAAGTGCAGATGTGACGCTAGGGGCAGGGAACACGGCCAGCCCCTGTGTAGAGGGAAATGAGTTCACTTCTGGGAAATGAGAACTTAGCAGCCAGGGCTGTGTGGGTGCCAACGAGGGGTCAGGGGTGGGGCTGTCTTCCCATGCTCACACTTGCTTCCTGTAGGTATTTCTTCTGGGCCACTCACCCTGTAATCCGGCTGGAGAGAGGAGGTGAGGGCGGGCGGCTGGGGGAAGGGTGCCCAGGGAGGGGCGCAGGACCAGGGAGGGGGTGGGCAGGAGGATTCAGTGGGGAAGGGCCCGAGGGGTGGCAGTGGAGCAGGGAGCTAGACGCCTAGGTTCTTGTGTCTGGGACCCACGGAGCCCCCAGAAGGGAGGGGTGGCTGGGGGCTGCTGCGGGCCTCAGGGCTGTGTGCCCCCACCCCCCAGAAGGAGCAGTCCGCCATGAAGCCGTCTGCTGTGGTCCTGCTGCTGGCCTTGCTGTGCGCACAGAGAGGTGAGGGGTCTGCCTGAAGGAGAGGCTTCTGGGAAATCGCACCTCCTGGGGTCGCTGGTGCTGCCGCCCCATGGAGGGCTCGGCCGGGGCTGCCTCCTGGGCTCGGGGTGCACGTGGTGCTCATCTGTGCCGGCTGTGCCGCTGTGTCTGCTGCCGCTGCGTCCTGAGCCACGAGGGCAGGAAGGAGGCGCCTGGGCTGCGGCGATTGTAAGGTCAGCTGTGCCGGCCTCTCCGGCCAGCCAGGCTTTGCTGGGCTGTGCGCAGTGGGCGCAGGAGCTTCCGGAACTGTCACCTGCCCTGCAGCCGTGAGCCCTTTCCAGTGGCCCTGGCTTCGCCGCCTCCCCCTGCATTTCTGCGACCCTCCAGACACTCTGCCCACCCTCCTCTCCCCTCCGGACGGTCTGCCCACCCCTCCTCTCCTTTCTGGACACTGCCTACCCTCCTCTCCTCTCTGGTCAGTCTGCCCACCCCCTTCTCTCTGGACACTCTGCCCACCCCCTCCTCTGTGGACACTCTGCCCACCCCCCTCCTCTCTGGATGATCTGCCCACCCCTCCGCTGCCCTCCAGATGGTCTGCCCACCCTCCTCTCCTCTCTGGTCAGTCTGCCCACCCCCCTTCTCTCTGGACACTCTGCCTACCCTCCTCCTTGGGCCTTCCTCGTCTTTGGGTCTCCCCGGGCCGCCTGGCTCAGCCCCCATGGTGTCTGTGCACAGCATAGCTGCCTCGGCCTCACACCCTCCCTTGCCCTGAGGACACCAACGCTCGACTGCCCGTCCACGGAGCCCCTTCCCACAGTGGCACCTGAAGCCCACAAGCTCCAGCTCTCTCTGGGCATGCACTGAGACAGAATGGCTGCCCTGCTACCACCAGAGGCCACAGGAGTCGAGACAAAGCCCCACAGCGGGCTGCACTACGGAGGCCGGGCATGGCGGGAGGCTCACATCGTCTATTCTAGAGGGTCGCCCCTCACAGAGGCCCTCCCTAGCCCCCACACTCATTCACTCACTCACTCATCTGTCACCCATCCATCCACCCATCATCTACCCATCTACCCGTCTATCCATCCACCCATCCATCATCCATCCACCCATCCATCCACTCATCATCTATCCATCCACCCATCCATCCACCCACCCACCCATCCATCCACCCATCATCTATCCATCCACCCATCCATCCACCCACCCATCCATCCATCCGCCCATCCACCCATCCATCCACCCATCCATCCATCCACCCACCCACCCGTCCATCCACCCACCCACCCATCCATCCATCCACCCACCCATCCATCATCCATCCATCCACCCGTCCATCCATCCACCCATCATCTATCCATCCACCCATCCATCCACTCATCATCTATCCATCCACCCATCCATCCACCCACCCATCCATCCATCCGCCCATCCACCCATCCATCCACCCATCCATCCATCCACCCATCCATCCACCCACCCGTCCATCCATCCATCCACCCATCCATCCACCCATCCATCCGCCCATCCACCCATCCACCCACCCATCCATCCATCCGCCCATCCACCCATCCATCCACCCATCCATCCATCCACCCACCCACCCGTCCATCCACCCATCCATCCACCCATCCATCCATCCACCCACCCACCCATCCATCCATCCACCCACCCATCCATCATCCATCCATCCACCCGTCCATCCATTCACCCATCATCCATCTGTTACCGGAGAAATTGCAGGGTTCTTGTCTTCGCACAAGAAAGAATTCAGGCGTGAGACAGAGTAGTGGGAGGTAAAATAGCAAGGTTTATTAGGCAAGGGACATCCGTAAGGACAGATGGGCACCTCTCCAGACAGAGCCTGAGAGACTGGGGCGGGGGGTGGGGAGTGAGGTTACATGGTTGAGTGGAGAGAGTACACCTGGCCAGACCAGGCGGGCGGCTCAGCAGAGAGGCAGAGGGCTGAGTGCGCAGTCCGGTTGAGGCCCAACAGGGGTTTTTAAGGAGATGGGTCTCTGTCTTCACACATCTCCTGAAACAAAGAATTTTATGGCTGTAAATATTAAGAAGCTCCTATCTGAGTTTTCCCCTGAAGGTATCAGACAGGAGGAAGCCTAGCTGGCTCTGTCCTGGGTTCAGAGGAAGGGTGAGCAAGACCCCCTGGAGAATGGGGATCCGGAGCAGAGTGTCTGAGATGCAGATACTGGGCTGCATCTGGGAGACTGTGGAAGATTGTCGGGCAGAAGGGGCGGGGACCCCCACCTGGCAGGTCACCAGGTAGGAGGGGCAGGGCAGGATGGGAACTGGGCTGTCCCTGAAACGTTATCGGGATGACTTTGAGATGTAGATGCAGATGCTAGATGTAGAAGTCTTCTCCGGAGGTCTTTGTCACACACACATAAGCTCATAACTGACTTCCTGCCTAACACATCCACCCATCATCCATCCACCCACCCATTCACCCACCCACCCATCCACCCATCATCCACCCAGCCACCCGTCCATCCATCACGCAGCCATCCACCCATCCATCCATGTTCCACCCATCCATCCACTTACCCATCCATCCACACATTCCTCATCCATTCAACAGATGCATCGTGGTACCCACTGCCCAGGTGGCGACTGGGCAAGTACTCAGTTACCTCTCTGTGGCCCTTGGGTAGTGAGCAGGTGCTCTGGGGCTGGACTGGAACGTGGGGGCAGTGTCCAGCTCTTGCTACAGGGTGGCCCTGGGTGCTGGGCCCCTGCTGTCTCTCCTGGGGCCCGTGGAGGGGATGCTGGGAGGCATGGTGGGGGCCCCGCACCCGTGGGCATGCTGGGCTCACGCACATGCTGCGTGTGGCACCCAGGCGCCTGGTGGCCTGACCGGACCTTGACCTCTCTCAGCTCGTGGTCTGCGCTGCTACCAGTGCCTGGGGACCTCTGTCTCGAGCTCCTGTGGCCCGGCCTTGTGCCTCTATCCTGATGGGGTCTGCGTCACCCAGGAAGTGGTCACCACTGTGGGTGAGTCCGCGGGCAGGCCCAGGGCCGGGAGGAAGCCGTGCGCCTAGCGAGTCCCAGGGAGGGGGCTGGAGTGCGGCAGGTGGGGCGGGGCAGGGGGCTGCAGCTTCCAGAGCAGACCGCTGGGTGCCCCGCGTGGCCTTTGTGGCCACTGAGCGCCTTCCTGGTTCTCACTTCCCGGCAGCCCCCGTGGCTCCCGTCCCAGAGCCCCAGGGTCTTCCCTGCTCGATGACGGAGGGGACCGGCTGTGCGCGACGACCACGTTACTGCCTCTGGCGGCTGGAACTGCCAGCTAAAGGAATGACCCCGGCGTGGTGCAGTCAGCAGTTGGGCCACGGAGGGGGCCTGGGGACACGAGCAGCAGATGCGTCCCCAAGGCTGTGTCCAGCTGTCCTCCGGGCTCGCTGGCCAGCTGGGGCTGCGTGGCGAGACCTCAGCCCGAGGGCCTGACCGCCCTTCCTGCTGTGTCGCCGGTTTCCTGGGCGCCCTCAGCGTCCCCAGCCAGGCTCTTCCTCGACCGTCCAGGCCCTGCCCTGGGGCTCCCAGCTCCCTTGTGCCCACCTCCAACCCCTGTTTGCAGGGCTTCAGACCGTGAGAGAGGAGAACAAGTTCTGCCTTCCCCAATGCCCAAGGAACACCAGCGTCCCCGTGCAGATCCTGGACTTCACCTCCCGGCTGACCTGCTGCAAGGGGGACCTGTGCAACGCAGCGCCCCGGGCCGCGGACAGCGCCTGGACCCTGCCCTGGGGGCTTCTGTGCAGCCTGGGGTCTGTCCTCTGGGTCCTGTTCTGATGGCCCTGCCCGTCCCCTTCCTTCTCCCGGCCCTCTGCCCTTAGCCTGCAGCCACGAGAGGATGGGCTCTGAGCCGGGGGAGGGGGCGCTCAGTACAGGGCCTGGGGAGGGGCTTGGCTGCGGAGTCTCTGCTAGGCCCCCTCCCCCCACTTTCTCACCCAGGGGATCCTCCTTCCCTCCCACAGGATCCTAGTGAGACCGCAGGGTGGGGTGGAAGCCAGGCTCTGTCCACCAGCCCACAGTGGGCCAGAACCCCCTCCTCCCCTGCAGTGGGCCACCTCTGTCTACACCTGGCACCCCTCCCCCCCAGCTCCTCCCCCAAGGCCAATAAACGGGGCTTCCTGCAGTGCTGGGCGCTCAGTTTCGTCTTTGTGTTCTGAGGTCCGCCCCCTGGGGAAGGAGAGCGCTGGTGCTGGGCAGGCAGGCGCCCTGGGTGGCAGGTGCGCCGCCACGCCCAGCCCCAGCGGAGCTGCTGTCCTGGCACAGCGCGCCGCCTGCCCCGAGCTGGGCGCCTGCAGCCAGGAAGCCAGCCTCCTTCCGCCTCGCTCCGGCCCAGGATTTACTCAGCTGACAGCCACACATCTCTCAGCGTGGGGGCCAGCAACGCCCTGGAGTCTCCCAGTCCGCAGCCTGAGGTGCGGGCCGCCCGTCTGGGTCTCCATCCGCCCCTCTGTGTCTCCTCCGCCTGCGTGCCGAAGGGGTCCGCGCACGCATCAGCGCGCCAGCGGGGCCGGGAAAGTGGGAAACCCAAGAGCAGAGGCCCGCTCACCGTGGAGCTTGTCTCGGTCCTGGGCTGAGCAGCCGGACCCGGGTGGACACACACGACTGTGCAAGGCACACAGGAGCAGGCGTCACCGCAGTGCCTGTGTGTGTGGGGGTGTCTCAGCAGGACCCTCGGGAAGGGGCCCTGCTGTGTTCACACTGAGGGTTCCTGGACAGGACTGCAGCCAGGGCTAGGGGCTCCAGGGCTTCGCTGGCTGAGGGGGGGGTCAGCACCGTGCACACCACTGCCCGCCCCCCAAGGGCTGTCCCTCTCCTGACTCCCGGGCCCCGCCCAGCCTCTTCCCTCACTGGCGGCTCTGCTGGGGCTGCCTGTGGCCTGTGTTGGGGCACGCGGCTCTGGTTCCGATCCAGCTCCCTGCTAACACGCACCCTGGGAGGCAGCGGCGGATGGCCCAGGGGCTTGGGCCCCTGCCACCCATGAGGGAGACCTGGCCGAAGCTCCTGGATCCTGGCTTCCGCATGGCCCAGCCCCAGCTGGTGCCGGCTGTTTGGGGAGTGAATCATTGGACGGAAGATCGCTCTCTCTCTTTCTCTGCCTTTCAAATAAATAAATACAGAAATATCAACACAAACGTAGATTTAAAAGCACAGAGGGCAAGGACTGATTACTCCTGTCAAAGCTGCAAACCTTTCCCAGCCATGTGAGGTCGGTCGCGGTGCCGCCCCCGCCCCTGCCGGCTGCCCAGCCCTGCCCCTCCCAGCAACTGCGCAGAGGACCCAGTGCTGCCGTGCAGGGTTGAGCCCAGCCTCTCCCTGCTGGGCAAAGCAGCTCAGCAAAGCACGGAGAGCCCAGCCTGCATGGTGTTGGCACGGGCATGGGCCCGCGGGGTCTTCCTCCCTGTCTGGGGTGTCCCTGGGCACAGGGCCTCCTGTGTGGGCACAGGGCACGCACACAGCGGCTGTAGCTGTGGGTGCACAGGGCACGCACATGGTGGCTGTAGCTGTGTGGGCACAGGGCACGCACACGGCGGCTGTAGCTGTGTGGGCACAGGGCAGGCACACGGGGCTGTAGCTGTGTGGGCACAGGGCACGCACACGGCGGCTGTAGCTGTGTGGGCACAGGGCACGCACACGGCGGCTGTAGCTGTGGGTGCACAGGGCACGCACATGGCGGCTGTAGCTGTGTGGGCACAGGGCAGGCACACGGGGCTGTAGCTGTGTGGGCACAGGGCAGGCACACGGGGCTGTAGCTGTGTGGGCACAGGGCAGGCACACGGCGGCTGTAGCTGTGTGGGCACAGGGCACGCACACGGCGGCTGTAGCTGTGTGGGCACAGGGCACGCACACGGCGGCTGTAGCTGTGTGGGCACAGGGCACGCACACGGCGGCTGTAGCTGTGTGGGCACAGGGCAGGCACACGGCGGCTGTAGCTGTGTGGGCACAGGGCACGCACACGGCGGCTGTAGCTGTGTGGGCACAGGGCACGCACACGGCGGCTGTAGCTGTGGGTGCACAGGGCACGCACATGGTGGCTGTAGCTGTGTGGGCACAGGGCAGGCACCCGGCGGCTGTAGCTGTGTGGGCACAGGGCACGCACACGGCGGCTGTAGCTGTGGGTGCACAGGGCACGCACACGGGGCTGTAGCTGTGTGGGCACAGGGCAGGCACACGGGGCTGTAGCTGTGTGGGCACAGGGCACGCACATGGTGGCTGTAGCTGTGTGGGCACAGGGCAGGCACACGGGGCTGTAGCTGTGTGGGCACAGGGCACGCACACGGCGGCTGTAGCTGTGTGGGCACAGGGCAGGCACACGGGGCTGTAGCTGTGTGGGCACAGGGCAGGCACACGGCGGCTGTAGCTGTGTGGGCACAGGGCACGCACACGGCGGCTGTAGCTGTGTGGGCACAGGGCAGGCACACGGGGCTGTAGCTGTGTGGGCACAGGGCACGCACATGGCGGCTGTAGCTGTGTGGGCACAGGGCACGCACACAGCGGCTGTAGCTGTGGGTGCACAGGGCACGCACATGGTGGCTGTAGCTGTGTGGGCACAGGGCACGCACACGGTGGCTGTAGCTGTGTGGGCACAGGGCAGGCACACGGGGCTGTAGCTGTGTGGGCACAGGGCAGGCACACGGCGGCTGTAGCTGTGGGTGCACAGGGCACGCACACGGCGGCTGTAGCTGTGTGGGCACAGGGCAGGCACACGGGGCTGTAGCTGTGTGGGCACAGGGCAGGCACACGGGGCTGTAGCTGTGTGGGCACAGGGCAGGCACCCGGTGGCTGTAGCTGTGTGGGCACAGGGCAGGCACACGGGGCTGTAGCTGTGTGGGCACAGGGCAGGCACACGGCGGCTGTAGCTGTGTGGGCACAGGGCAGGCACACGGGGCTGTAGCTGTGTGGGCACAGGGCAGGCACACGGGGCTGTAGCTGTGTGGGCACAGGGCAGGCACACGGGGCTGTAGCTGTGTGGGCACAGGGCAGGCACACGGGGCTGTAGCTGTGTGGGCACAGGGCAGGCACACGGGGCTGTAGCTGTGTGGGCACAGGGCACGCACATGGTGGCTGTAGCTGTGTGGGCACAGGGCAGGCACACGGCGGCTGTAGCTGTGTGGGCACAGGGCAGGCACACGGGGCTGTAGCTGTGTGGGCACAGGGCAGGCACACGGGGCTGTAGCTGTGTGGGCACAGGGCACGCACACGGCGGCTGTAGCTGTGGGTGCACAGGGCACGCACATGGCGGCTGTAGCTGTGTGGGCACAGGGCACGCACACGGCGGCTGTAGCTGTGTGGGCACAGGGCAGGCACACGGGGCTGTAGCTGTGTGGGCACAGGGCAGGCACACGGGGCTGTAGCTGTGTGGGCACAGGGCACGCACACGGCGGCTGTAGCTGTGGGTGCACAGGGCACGCACACGGGGCTGTAGCTGTGTGGGCACAGGGCACGCACACGGCGGCTGTAGCTGTGTGGGCACAGGGCAGGCACACGGCGGCTGTAGCTGTGTGGGCACAGGGCAGGCACACGGGGCTGTAGCTGTGTGGGCACAGGGCAGGCACACGGCGGCTGTAGCTGTGTGGGCACAGGGCACGCACACGGCGGCTGTAGCTGTGTGGGCACAGGGCAGGCACACGGGGCTGTAGCTGTGTGGGCACAGGGCAGGCACACGGGGCTGTAGCTGTGTGGGCACAGGGCAGGCACACGGGGCTGTAGCTGTGTGGGCACAGGGCACGCACATGGTGGCTGTAGCTGTGTGGGCACAGGGCAGGCACACGGCGGCTGTAGCTGTGTGGGCACAGGGCAGGCACACGGGGCTGTAGCTGTGTGGGCACAGGGCAGGCACACGGGGCTGTAGCTGTGTGGGCACAGGGCACGCACACGGCGGCTGTAGCTGTGGGTGCACAGGGCACGCACATGGCGGCTGTAGCTGTGTGGGCACAGGGCACGCACACGGCGGCTGTAGCTGTGTGGGCACAGGGCAGGCACACGGGGCTGTAGCTGTGTGGGCACAGGGCAGGCACACGGGGCTGTAGCTGTGTGGGCACAGGGCACGCACACGGCGGCTGTAGCTGTGGGTGCACAGGGCACGCACACGGGGCTGTAGCTGTGTGGGCACAGGGCACGCACACGGCGGCTGTAGCTGTGTGGGCACAGGGCAGGCACACGGCGGCTGTAGCTGTGTGGGCACAGGGCAGGCACACGGGGCTGTAGCTGTGTGGGCACAGGGCAGGCACACGGCGGCTGTAGCTGTGTGGGCACAGGGCAGGCACACGGGGCTGTAGCTGTGTGGGCACAGGGCACACACATGGCGGCTGTAGCTGTGGGCACAGGGCAGGCACACGGCGGCTGTAGCTGTGTGGGCACAGGCACGCACACAGCGGCTGTAGCTGTGGGTGCCACTGAGGCTGTTTAAGGCAGCTTCCATGTTACGAGGGGCCGACATAAGTGGTTTTGTGTGTGACTGAGTGCGGGAAGGCATATGGCCTCGGAAGCAGACCGGCACGTGCACAGCGCACTGTGTGTCTTTTGCTTACTAGTGGTGTGGATGCTCAGGTCTGTGCTACTGAGGGTCCCCCGGGCTCCTGGGGGTGTCAGGGGTCTGCGGGTGGAGGCCCTGCCACCGTGGGGCTCAGCATCAGCTAGGACGAGGCTCCCTCTCCAGAGCCCACCCCCGGAGGGCTCCTGAAATTCTCGTGTGGACGATTGTGTTCTCATGCACAGCACCAGTGGTGGTTATAGACGGGGCGAAGGAAGATGCCGTCATTAGGGCTCCGAGAAGGACCCCGAGGATCTCAGGGCGGCATTTCCTGGCCCAAGAATCTGCTGGCTCTGGGTCTCAGGGCTGCCCGCGGGCCTGGGCACACCAACTGACAAGCCCTGGCGTGGGAGAGCAGGGCCGCCCGCCCATGTCCTCCACCCGCCTCCCACACACAGCCGGAATGCAGCCGGAACAGGCCTGGCTGCCCACGCCCGCTGCTGGGGCCCAGCCTCTGCTCGGGCCCCTGCCCCTTTTCTCTGCTTTCCCGTTTGCAATACTGTTTTGCCTCAACCCGCTGCAGAACCTCCCAGCCCCTAACACAGGGGTGGCTCCGGCAGCCGAGCTGGGGTCGGCGTGGCGACGCCCTGGCAAAGCCGGGGGTGGCAGAATCGGCTGTCATTCTGAAGATTAAGGCAGACAAATCCGGGCTCCGGCCGAGGCGGCGGAGTGGGCACTTCCCCACTGCAGTGGGTCTGGGCAGCTCCCGGGCCGCTGGATCCCCAAGGGTTTTGCAAGATGAGGGTGGGGCTCCGGCCTCGCCCCGGGAGGGTCACCAGGCCCCGTCAAGAGCAGCACTTACCCTGTGTGTTTGCCCCAGAGGGCGGGGGTGACTGTCAGGGTCAGGGCCGAGGCAGCAAGGACGAGAGCGATAGGTCCAGTTTGGCTTCTGCCCTGGGGGACTGGGAGCAGGCCCTCAGGTCCCCGCGTTCTCCTCCGCTGGATCAGCCCTGCCCAGTGCAGGAGTCCAGGGCCAGCCCAAGCTCACGCCACTTTGTGCTGTGCAAGCCCCGGTGGGTGGAGGAGGGGCTCCCTGCTGTGCGCAGGGGGCTCTCTCGGCCCCTCCCTCCCAGGCTTGCTCTGGATAGACCTGTCCTGGCTGGCAGCCCTGTCTTATCTAACCCTGTCCACACAAGGACTAGGGCGGCTGCTGGGAGGCAGAGAGGGAGACGCCTGACTGAGGGCTCTTGGGAGAGGCCTGGGCGGGACCGGGATCCCCTTCCTCTGCCACCCAGCTCCCGGTGGGGGGAGCAGGGACCTTGCTGGTCTGAGGACGAGGCACTGCAGTCATGTGTTTCCCTGGTCCACACACATGCACGCACCCCTGCACACACATGCATGTACACACATGCACTCCTGCACAGACACGCACCCTGAGCACACATGCACAAGCACACACATACACACACAATCCTGCAACAAGTGCACCCCTGCACATACAATGCATGCACACACATGCACTCCTGCACACACGCACACATACATGTACCCGCACATGCACACACATGCATGAAAAACACACTGCACACACATGACTCCTGCACACACATGCACACACACATGTACCCGCACAGGCACACACATGCATGAAAAAAATACACTGCACACACATGCAATTCTGCACACACATGACTCCTGCACACACATGCAATTCTGCACACACATGCATGAAAGCACTCCTGGATACACACATGTACACAGGCACACAGGCACACCATGGGCACACACAGGAGGGTTACACACCGGGTCATCAGATCAACCACACAGAGCAAGGCTGACGCAGTGGAGCTGGGGTCGTCCTTGACAGCTGGAGCTGGAGCAGCCTCAGGTCCACGGACACAACCACGTGGCTGCTGCCTCCCGGGGCGCCCAGCGCACGAGTGGAGCTGACCGGGAGGGGTCGCAGGGTGCTGCGTGGACGGGGCATCCTGTGGGTCCCGCCAAGCCTCTCAGCAGGACGCGGCTGCAGCCCCAGGGAGCGAGACGGGACGGAGCAGCCCTGTGTCTCGAGGCCGCTTCGGGAACCTGCCCTGGGGACCAAGGTCTCCGTGTGGCCATGTGCGCTGTCATCTTCCTGGCCTCTGCTCTTCTCGGGTCACTTTACCGCCCCCTTCAGCTTCCCGAGGTGGGGAGGGGCTCCCTTCAGCCCCGCAGGACCCCTGCTGGTGTCCACACACAGGAGTCTGCCCAGCCCTGGGCCGTGTCCGATGTCCACTTCTGCTTTCTCCCGTGGGCTGTGCCCTGCAGGAGCACACCTCCTCCCCCCGCAGGGCCCAGGTCTCCATGTGAGACGTTCCTCAGCGGCGACGTGGGCCCGGCTGGGACCTGGCCGGGGTGCCGCTCCCGGGGGCTGCCCGTTCCGCCGGCTGGGCTCCCGCCTCCCGGCCTCTCTGCTGCCCCTCGGCCTGGTGTCCTGGTGTTCTATCCGTCACGGGAGGCGACGCTCGGCCTCAGTGCCACCGTGAACTTTCTCCTTTTGGTTCACTCAAATTGTGCTTTGCTCATTTATTTGTTTTTGATGGAGAGAGAGAGAGAGAGAGAGAGAGAGAACGTACGTCCATCTGCTGGTTCACTCTCCAATGGCCACAACTCGGCGGCTCCACACACACGCACGCACACATGCAGGACTCGGCTAGGCTGAAGCCAGGACTGGGAGCTCCACCCGGTCTCCCAGAGCAGCGACAGGGGCCCAAGCACTTGTCACACCCACTGCCGCCCAGGGTGCCAATTAGCCGGGAACTGGGACTGGAAGCAGAGCCAGGACTTGAAGCCAGGCTCTCTGGTGTGGGACAAGGGGATTCCCAAGGCCGGGGGTGGGGGGTGGGGTCTTCATGGCTACACCGCCCGCCGCCCCCCGTGTGTTGGGTGTTTTGAAACCTAGGCAGACAAGTTCTGTCCTTGACCTAGAACTGCGGGCACACTGCGTCTCCTGGGGTTTCAGGGCGCCCACGGGTGGTCTTCCCCGTGGCTGCGAGTTCTCACGGGCTCTCGCTGCTTTGCTGCCCCCCCCCCGCCCCCCCCGCCCCCCCCCCTCCGTGCTTGTTGGAAGTGGACCTTCTTTTCCTGATTGTGGACAGATTTCCCCAAGGAATGGGGATCTCCGGGCTCGGGGCACCAGAGTCTAAGGGGTCTCTGGGTCTTGCCGGGGTGCGAGCCCCTCAAAGCCCTCATCACCCCCTCCTCCCTGCTTCCTGCCCGCCGGGGGTCCCAGCTTCTCCGCAGGGGACGAGCTGAGCCGTCTTCCTGCAGCACCAGGGCTCACCGGCAGGTGGAGCTGTGGGCGGAGCCCCCACGGCAGGTGTCCCTGGTGTCTCCTGTCGGGAACCAGTGTCTGAGCGGAGCCTGGGGCCCCGAGGGCAGGAGCCGCTGGCCAACCTCCACAGACCCCTCTTCTGGCCAAGAGGGCAGGCCTGGGGCTCGCCGCGGCAGACTCGGGTTCTCCCAAAGGGATGTCTTGTTATGCCCGCAGTCTGTGGTCCCCCGAAAATCACACCACCAGAGACCGAAGTTGAAGCACATAGCAGGGTCGTTTTTATTACGAGTTCGAACCCGGGCCTCCCAGTGCCGCCAGGGGAGGATGCATCCCAGAAGCCCCGAGCCCGATTCTTACAGAGCTTTTATTATCATGTCCAAGCAGGCTTTAGGGAATGCTATAGATCAAGTTGACACTTCTGATAAATCCCGACATCACCTCCGACTCCGACTGGGGTAGTGGCTGGTTGTTATCTGAAGCTTTGAACCTTACAGGCATAGGCAGTTACTGTACATTCCTGGACCCCGGTCAGGGTAGGGTCACATCTGGCAGATGGAGGGAAGGGGAGTATACGATAGCGAGTGCCAGGAACGGGCAGTGGTGCGGGTCATTCAATCACTGGACTACTTAGCTCCACATCTAACATAATCTATACTATAAAGTCAACGACACCTAGCATTGCTTATTACTACTACTAGTTGCCTAACAAGCTAATGTGGTTACACTTTAGGTTACATTAAAATAATAATATTTTCTAGCAGTATTATAATGGATAATAAGGGCATAGTACAAGCTGGCTGTGCAGGTGTCTTCTCATTCCCCCCTTTCACGTGAGGCTTATTTGGAGCCAATTTTGGCTCCTTTACGGGTCTTAAGCTTTATAACTCCTGTTCATCTAAGGGTTGGTACTGTGTCTGCAGCACCATAAGCTGAACTGCGTTTATTCTGTCTTTAACAAATGTTACTAGTTCGTTGATCACACAGAGGCCTATGGTTAAGATTATTATTAACAGAAGTAGAGGGCCAGTTATAGCCGATAATAAGGTTGTTAGCCAAGGAGAATAATTAAACCACGATTCAAACCATCCTTCTTGTTGTTCCCTTTCTCTTTTTTCTAGCCCCTCGCGTACTTTAGCCCTGGAGTCCTCCACTACCCCGTGTGGTCGGCATAGAAACAACACTCCTCCCCCAGGGCAGCACACAGTCCTCCCTGCTGTAGAAACAGCAAGTCCAGTCCTCGCCTGTTTTGGAGGACAACTTGCGACAGGGATCGGAGAGACTTGGTTAAGCCAGCGATAGATCGGTCAGTTCTCGCTAAGTCTTCATCCATCGCCAGTCGGAGAGCTGAATACTGGCTTCCTTAATGGCTACTGCAGTGGCTCCCAGCCCTGTCCCTGCCAGCCCTAACAGGCCAGCTACAGTGATTAAAGCGGTCGCCCCTCCCGGCGCTCTCTGCTGAGTGACGCGGTGGGCCTTAGGCTGGACAGGAGTTCCTTATAGGGATGATATATTATTCGGGGGTACAATCTAACTAGAAGGCACCATTCATTATTGCTTTGTAACACTGTCCCTGACACACACGAGTCACTCCCGAAGCATTGCAGGCCCACCACGTATTTCCTGGCGCTGGGTAGAACAGGGAGGCGTGGCTGAGGCAGTGTGATTACACATTGATCCAGCAGAAACTGTGGTGGATATGCATGACCTACGACCCCGCACGACCTGCAAGGTGGTCCCAGATCCCATCTGTCTCTGCCAGCGGCAGCCCTCTTGGGTTGTCCCAGAGAGAGACTTGTCACAGCTGTCGCCTCATAATAGGGTGGCGAGGCCTGATAACACAGCCAGCAGGAATTAGTTAAGTTAGGGAGAGAAGCGTTCAAGGCTGTCTAAGCACTATTTAAGAGTCACCACAGCGGACCAGATTGTTGGGGGTCTGACTTTTTCCTGTTACTGGCTGAGGCAGGTCGGGCCCTGTCTTTGCGCGCCTCTTGATTTTGAGCCTTCGCCTCGGCTGGTCATAGTGGGTCGGTCCTTGCCCTTTTTCACCCGGGGAGGAGGACTTGGCTTGGGTCTGGGTCTTTGGGTTGGCGAGGGCTCAGGCTCGGGAATAAGGAACTTATTCGGCCCCACCCCAATTGTGTGGCTCGGTTGAGACCGCCACTGGATTGTAAACCGAATGCCCTGGTCAGACCCGGCGACATATAGTCTCAGTCCCCATGTTTTTCCCTTAACCCATTGGGAATTCTGTATTTCTTGCCATGTTTTTACCTTAATTTGGATTGGGTTTCTTTTTCCCACTTGAGGACTTGACCCACCCACTCTGGCCATCTCCAGATTTTTGTCCCTAGGAGTCAACCATGAGGCTATTGTCTCACATCCACACCGATAGCAGTAACATTCGCCTGCCCTCCCCACAGTCTGGGGAAGCTTCGGCAGGACAGACATGCCATTTAGTTTGTTGTAGGTTGGCCTCTACACCAGCTTGCCCGCACCCCACCAATTTCACCCCGGGATTCCAATGCCCATCGGCTGGGGAGGTAAATGTCTTAACTCCGGGCCTGGAGATCAGCCCCGTGTCCACTTCCTGCCACAGGGTGCAGAGATGTACGGTGAACGTGGCTGTCCTGTGCCATTACAGCGGTCGACTACTCTTCCCAACACACCCAAGGTCCAGGAGGTTGGCGAGGAATGATGTCCAAAGTCACTCCCCCCAGCAGACAGCATTAGTAGGATCATGAGGTCAGGCCTCATTGTTCTGCTGCTTTACCGCCTGGGGAACGCGGCGCAGTTTAAGCTTCAGAGGATTGTTCTTGGCTTGAGTTTTGTCGACCCTCCAGGCCGGTTCATTGGGGGGGGGGCGGGTTATGATGTCTGGGAACAGGCTTGCCAGTTTGGCGTGGACGTGGTGGACCCAGGAGGACACTCCGTCTACCTTGAGAGCGGTGGGAGTCGTTAGGATGACCTGGAAGGGTCCCTTCCACCTGGGTCCCAAGTTTTCCCTCCGGTGACGCTTTACTAGCACCCAGTCGCCTGGCCTGTAGCTGAGAGGTGTCGGAGATGGCCCTCCCTGTTCCGGACAGGTCTTTTAGTTTGGGCCACACTTCTTCATGGATCTTCTGTAAAGC